ATATCTATGGCAAAGCAATCCAGATGCTACAAGAAGCGTTTCATCAAAAACTGACTGCATGGAACCACATATCCAGGCTTTTGAGCTATTGTGATTTTTTAAAAAAGTGAGTTCTCAAAAAGGCTGGAGAATGGAAATCACATAAAAAAAAGCTTTATAGACCCCAAACACATAAAAACTTCAACCATCTGCTTGCATAAGTCATCTTTTACTCCTGAAAAGACTGTGGGGAAATTCACAGATACTGACATTCAGGACAATTGGAATCTTCAAATTTTAATGATGGAATGGTGAACAATCTAATTTTTCTCCTTCCTGTTAACTTGGTTTGCAAGAGGGAAAAAAAAGCACCAAATTTTAATTAAATAACCTATTCTGCTTGGGAATAAAGAGTCGGAGGCAAAATTTTTTCTGTGTGGCAGGTACAACACTTACTCTTACAGGTATTCCCTTCATTCTCAATTATTTCTAGTGAAAATGGTCTTCCTTTCCAGAACTCCCTCTGATAGAGAGGCTGAACTTCATGCTGCAAATGCATATTTTTAAGGCACAAAGCACCAACAGATATTGTATTTATGTTGGTAGATTATCACAAAACATCTAATTTGATATATAGTCCTAGTTTTGCTGTAGAAAAATTAAAGTGAAGAAAAATGAAGAAACTTGTTTAAGATGGAGCAGTTAAACAGCAGGGACCAGGAGAATTCCTTCAATATTTCTGCTTCAGCTTCAAAGACTATTCTACCTTATAAAAGCAAATAAAAAAAGCTCAGCTGACTATTATTATTAATTGTACACAGCCCTGGACTTAGAACTTCTGAGGAAACACCATCCTAAAGTAAAAAAAAAAACCCAAAAAAGCTCATTACATCTTTCTCTATCCTTTTCAGAGTTTACACACACCTCTGTTCAGATCACATTAGGCTTCCAGAGGGCCTTCTAAATAGAAGAGCAAAAGCAATGAAGAGCACAGAAGCAGGGCTATTACTCATGACACTGAGCACTGTCAGGATGTCACGGGGTAAAGTCTAACCGATTACACCAAGTTAAACCTTGAGTAGATAAACTGAACTCTAACTCATTAGAAGGTTTTGATATCTGCTGGGAAAACAAAGCGCAGCCAATTCTGCACAAAACTTTCTTAAGACCAAGGACTGCATGTCCTGCTGTAATGGTTCAGGTATGCACGGAAAAGAAGCAAAGCACAGATACATTTTTAACAATATCTCACATGCTGTGACAGTAGATCAAAAGGTGAAAACTACCCTGGTAACAGCTGCTAAATCCCTCCAAGTATGGAGAAAACCAAAGATACTGACCTGCAGCGACAAAAGAGGCCACCAGCAGCTTACATTGACCATAGCAGTTTGAAATCAATAGTGAGCACAATTGTTCCCTGTGGGGATCACATTCACAAAAATCCAGCACAGACAAGAGGGAGCCTGAGGCAGAATTGCCACACAAGAAGCAGGCCACCAGCCAAGACTCACACACCTCAAACAGCTGGAACAAGTATCCTCCAACCACACCACAAACTCAGAGGAACAGCTGGACCAGCATGTCCAGGTGAGTGCTCGTGACAAATCATTTGAGATTTTATGTCACTCAGCACAGTGCTTCTGCCCTTGTGTCTACCTCATCCCTCAATTTCCCTTGCAACAGAGAAAACAGAATCCAATAGATTAACTGTTTTTAACAGATCCTAGTGTCAGGAAGAGGGCCACATCAGGTGGCTCTACTCTACTAAGCTACTCACTTTGTAACTTTTCCTTATACCCCATAAAGTAACCCAGCTGTTGTTCATAGGTGAGAGCAGAACAGAACTTTTGTTATTAACAGCTAAAACTGTTCTTTTTGGGGTGGGGAAATACTCCAATTAAGGATCCGTCTACCTCCAAAAATCTTGGTTTTAAATCTCCTAGCTAAATAAGAGTTAGAAATGTTTCTTAGTAACTAATCAAGTTTTTTAAAATTAATACAAGGGATATACTGCTCAAGTTAAATCAGGGAATAATCCCAAACTAACTTTCATGACTCATAAGTTTAAAGTTTTACACTAAAAGCAGTCTCTTCCTAGTATTTTTACAGACTTCTCTCCCTCTTAAAACTGCAGGATCTACAACCAACTGCTGCTCATGGGCATAGAATGGTAAAGTTGCCCCTCTGGCATACTATGTTACCAACTACACCCATCGAGCCTGGAGGCAAAAAATACTAACAGAATAGTAATTCTAATCCCATTAGTGCAACAAGATACCTATAATTTAGGTACTTCCATTTTCACAATTACTTTGTGGATTTAGAGAATTCAATACAGTGTTGATGTTCAGTATATTTATCCATTAAGATAGACAACGTCATTGAACTGGCAGCATATCTGTAACCACAGATTTTGGTTCTTCAGAAAAAGCTTCAGTTCTATTTTTACAAATAATTTTAACAGTACTGCAAACATGTAGTACTTGTGCATAAGAAGTCACTCTGTTCTTCCAGTAGTGGTTACAGAGGCCTCGTAAAGAAGAATAAGGTAAGAGTGTGATTTAGAAAACTCCTCACATTAACCTGTTCTGAACAATACTGGTTTGGAATTTAAAATAACCAATTTGAAGGCTGATCAAATACAGAGAACCTCTGTAAAGAGTCTGATAAATAGTCCAAAACCAAACCAGGACTGTACCATTATTTTCCTCACATATTAATGAAATCTCAAACAGGTTCTTGCTCCATGATTTAAGAACATTTTACCTTCAATACCCTTTCCAAAAAGAACTCCCAAACTTGTTTCCCTGTTCCTCATAAAAGAGAAAGCATAAAAAGATGTACCTATACTTGAAGACACAAGGAAAACACTACCCACCTCCCATTTGCTGGTAGGCAATGAAAGAAACATTATTCCTTTACTTCTATACTCTCACAACATGAACACAGAAGAAAATTAGGACTGCCTTCCATTGCACTTTTATGATTTTTCAATGAGTAACACTTTGCTGACACTCAGTCTTTCCAGTCCACAATTCATTTCAATTAAAAACACTTTGCAGCTTTAAAGAGTAAGTGGATCCTACTTTAATGAACCCTTGCATGTAATTTATTATTAATAAAAACCTTAGTGAGCAAAGCATCCTGAGGGCTGGCTCTATCTTTGAGCAATAGAATGAAATAAACACTTCTTGCGAGCCTCACTCTTACCCACTCTTCTCAAACCAGCAAAAAGCAAGAGACTGCTTTGACATTAGGAATATATCTGAGTTTATTCCTTCTGCCTGCATTCCTCCATCACAATGAGGAGGTAATCACAGGAGATGCAGATTCTGCAGCGCTGCCTGGTCACAGGGCTACTCTATCAGCTGAGGGCTTTTAACCAGCTCTTCCAAGAACCAAGAGCTGTATCAAAGTACCAAGAAGCATATTCATCTTCATCAAGTTAGAGGAGCACTAACGTTTCAGCCTCTGCGTGAAACTTCTTCCTTTCCTTTAGAGAACATATTTTCTGTCATTTTCTCACAGTAATATTTTCTTCCCAAACAATCTTGCAATACCTCTCTCAATTATTTAGAAAGCAATTCACACTCCAAGAATTCACAGGTGTGTGTAGCCATGGATGAGTGCCCAGAAACAGGTTTTGTTGAGTCATCATCACCCAAACTGCAATATCATGTTGCCCAAAATTACAGGTGAGTGAGCTCTAAACAGGTACATTTTAATCTCTTCTTTCCCTCCAAACCAAGTTCTAACTTCTGTGTCTCCTTTTGCTTTCTCATCTATTCTATCAATATGAGAGTAATTAACACCACACACACACAACTCACTCTTCATTTAAGTCAGCTCTATAAACTCTTAAAAAAGAAAATTTATTAAATTAAGTGTAGTTTCAAATATGGCATTAAGAACATTGCATTATTATCCCTATTCCTCAAGCTCTGAGTTAAAAAATCTGGAGAGTTCATAATAGAAATCTAGTTTTTCAACTTTTAAAAGTTAACCCTCTTATGGCAATTACCCTTATAGGCAGGGTAGTGATATACCAGAAAGAAACAAAAAAGGCCTACTTGGAGACTAATATAAACACCAAAGGAAATTGTTAGATTTACCTACCATTTAAAGAGGATTAAGTCAATTTCTCTAGCAAGATGGCCTAAGCCTTCCCCGTAACGTTTAGAATTCAGTCAATTTCAGGACAACAAAGAATTCCATTCATTCTCTTATGCTGACAAGTAAAGGTTCTGACAAAGCAGTGTGGATTAAAGACTCTACAGGACACCTTCTTTTAAAAATAAAAGTTTAAACACATATGTTGTTACATGGCTTGGATAGTAGCATATGGCTGTGGTACCATATGGCTATAAACATATGGGTAGTTCACTTTTTAGTGAACAAAAAGAAGCAGGGTTACTAGTGCTTTACTGCACAAATTCATTCCGCTTCTCTCTGTCACTTAGAAGCTTTTAGCAAGATACAACCCCTGTACCTTTTACTACCCCCACTTGAAACCCTCATTTGGCAACACAGAAGTAGTAGCAGGTCACTAGAGCATTACGAAGTTTATCTTAAGAACAAGCCCATCACCCAAAAAAAGCCCAACTAAAAACCACACAAAAAAAAAGCCAACCAAACAAACATCACCTCACCAAGCAGCACAGAATGTTTCAGCCCCAGAGGATAGAGCAGAACAACAAAACACAGCTCAGCCCACTTCTCTCTTTAGATTTGCAGTCAGCTGCTGTAAATTGTCAGCACACTAGTAACCCTCTACAAAATTTATCTATTACCTTGAGATAATGGCAACTGAGCAGCCATACCTCACATCATTTACACAACTTAAACTGACACAAAGAACAAGCAGAACAACCAAGCCACCCACCAACAGCAGAGAGAGCTTGCTGTTTTACTCCCCTCCTGCATACCTGGTTCCCACCAGTCTTCTGAATGGTTCCAGCAGCTGAATCAAGACATCACCTGTGTGAGGTGCACTCAATCCACTTCAGAATACAAAAGGATACAGCCTTAGTGCTCCAGTCTGAGTCCCAATGGCCAGTATTTTCTGAACCGGATCAAATGCCAAGGCTGAAGGTTGATAGGGGAAACCGTGGCGTACAGTCTAACAAGTCAGAGCAGCGCAGTTACAATGGATCAAGCAGGACACCAAAAATAAACAGAACCAAGACTGTATGTTAGAGAACAGGATTCAATGTTAATCACAATTCAAAAAGGAAGTACAAAGCAATTTAATCACAGACTGAGAAAATCACCTGCCTTACACAGATCAGTTACAAAAGATTTTTTAGTCATAATTACTCATTCATCTTTGAGCATCAAGAGACAGTCAGACTTTCTGAAACTTAATTTGAATCTTACATTTCTTCTGTATAAAGACTGTATCAACTCAGCATTTCATTTTTTCATCTACCTCATTCCCTGAGTAATCTTATTTTCAGCTCTAACAAAGACACTAAACTATTAAAATCTGAGATGTTCCTAGCAAGTTTGGCAACTAAACCAGACTTATCATCAGAACTATTATAAACTACTAGACTTGCTTTTTTGAGAATCACTTCAATTTCAATCCAACAGACCAACATGACAGTGCAACCCCTCTCAGCTTAGTAAAGAAAAAAAAATAGCAACTTGAGCTTGACAGAATCAATCTCTCATCCTCTACTTCCCTGAAATAGAACAGGCAGCACCAGAATTGACCAAACCAAAAAATACCTCATTGTATGAAGGCAAACCTCCTCAACCATGGGATTCTTTGTTAATATGGAGCTATTGGCACATTTAGCTTTTTTGGTTAGCCAAGACTAATTTGGTAATTGACCAAGCAACGACTCCATTAAACTTCTCAGGCTGCAATTAATCAGAACTGAGAACATAATACAAGTCTCACCTACTCTTACTTCCATTCTAAATGCACGCATCCTAAGCCACAAAAATGCCAGCTTTTCCATTTCTAAGGCTTTCGTTTAAAGCAGAGGTATTTCATGACCTCTGATATACTCCTTGTACTTCACTGAAGTTGCAGGCATATCCCACAACTCTCTGTATTTCACAACTGAATAAAGTCTAACTGGCAACAGCTCTGCTCTTCTCCACATCCTTCATGACCAACTCCTGAAAGCAGCAGAAATGCCTGCAATACACAAAAAAAACTGAGGAGAGTCCACAAGCAAGCTCATCCATGTCAGGCCATGAGTGCAGTGCAAAGATATAAATGAAATTGATATTCCAATCAGCTTTTATTCCTCTTGATACAGCTGATGGTTAATTCACTGCATCATTTTCTGAAGTGTGCAGACACAAACTGCAGTTATCATATCACACACAAGCAAATAAATAAACGGGAACTTCGTCTCCAGATAGGATTTGCAATAGCAGCATCACCAACTTGGCAACACACTGCAGTGAAACCACCACAAACACTGAAAGCCTTTTTCAGGCATAAAGGAGTAGGACAAATGACTTCCAAATAATGCAGAGGGACAGATTTCCTGTCCTTCGGGCCCATTAGCAGAGGCTTTTACTCAAACCCCGCGATAATCAGAGCTGCACTACAGCTAAGTATCACTCCTTCCCCCATCCATCCAACTCTTTCTACGAAGCCTTAGTGAACACTGTCAGGATTACCCGCATGAAAGAGCCTAGACGACAAACCCCGAAACTCTCCAAGAAAGATGACTAAAGAAATCCAGCAAGACCTGTACAGCTACACCCACCGCTTTCTTCCCGCATTCGCCCCCGAAACAACCAATGCAAACAAGCAAACAGGAGCGGCGGGCAGGCTCGGCGAGGTCGGTACGGAGGAGCAAAGCCCGCAGTGCCCATCGCGGCGGCGCGCCCCCTTCCCAGGCCGCCCGCCGGCTCGGGGCTGCAGCATTCATTCACCTTGCAGAGCTGGAAGTGCTCGGACTGGAGAGTCTCCTGGATCTCGGTCTCCCGGTTCCCCGCCTGCTGCTGCTGCGCGGCGGACGACGCCGAGGCGACGGCAGAGACCGCCGTCAGGCCGTCCAGCACCTTCCTGATGTTAAATTTCCTCATGGTCCTCGGCGGCGGCGCTCCCGCTCCCCCGGCCTCGCCGCCGCCGCGCAGTCACCGCCGCGCCGCCCGCCCCGCAGGCGGCAGACGAGCCCCCGCCGGGGAGGGCGGTGCAGGGGCGGCCGCGCTCGGGGGCGCCGCGCTCCTCCACGTCCGCGGGGAGGGCGGCGAGGCGTCAGTCCGGCAGCTCAGGGGCGCTTCTCATCGGGGCCCGCGGGCTCGGAGACGGAGACTGGAGCCAAGCAAACAGGAGTCGGTCAGCCCACCGAGCGCCGCCAGCGCCGGTCCCACGCTCGCCGCCCGCGGCCCCGCGCCCTGCCCGCCGGGGAACGCGGCTCGCCCCGGGCCCAGCCGGCCCCGCCCCGGCCGTCCCTCCCGCCGCCGGGGCTGTGCGGGCTGCCTCGCCTCGCCTCTCCTCCCCGCGGAGCCTCCGCGCCCCCAGCACAGCCCCCTCACATCGCGGCGGCCGCCGCTGTCACCCGTCCGCGTGCGTGCGCGCGTGTGCCGGTCCCCTCCCGCCGCCGCAGCCTCTCCCCCCGCGGCGACAGCAGCAGCAGCAGCAGCAGCCGCCCGCCCCGCGGCTCGGCTGGGCTCAGCACCCTCCGCCTCCTCCTCAGAGCTGCGTGTGCCGCCAGCCAGTCACCAGCGGGGCTTCTCCCGGCTGCTGCCAGCGCCTGCCGCCGCCGCCGCCCGCCCCCACGACCATCCTCATCATCCTCCTCCTCCTCCTCCTCCTCCTCCTCCTCCTCCTCCTGCCGCGGAGGGAGCCTCCCCCGCCTCTCGGTCGCTCCCCCTTGCCTGACGACGCGGAGCGCAGCGCCCCGGGGAGGAGGAGCGGCGACGGCGATACCGCGTCGCCCGGCCCGGTAGCGGCGGGGCGGCCGCTCATGCGCGCTGGGAGCGGCGGCGCCCGGATGTGGCGGAGCCGCTCCCCCG